GGCTCAGGGAGAACTAAAGTCTCCTCTTTAAAAACCAGTCCAGGGAACACCAGACCTGCTACTCGTTGACAGACTATAATGGGGAAGAGATAATTCAAGCATTCAGCCACTGCATATTTTTTAATGTAAGTATGATGGGGATGAGAGACTGTTTAAACAATATGTAAAAGCCTAAATTTAGTGTATACCCAAAAGAATTGAAAACAAGCGTTCAAACAAAACTTGTATGAGGATATTCTTAGTAGCATGGTTCACAATTAGCCAAAAGGTGAAAACAGTCTAAATGTCCATCAACTGATGAATGGAAATGAAGTGCGGTATATCCATACAATGGATTGTTATTCAGCAACAAAAAAGGAATGAAGTACTGATACATGCCACAACATAAATGAACCTTGAAACATGCTAAGTGAAATATCTAAAGAAAAAAGAAGCAGCCAGATATAAAAACCCATATATTGTATGATTCCCTTTATACAAAATATCCAGAATAGGCAAATTTATAGAGACAGAAAGCAGATTGGTGTTTGCCAGAGGCTGGGAGGAGAAGAGAATGAGGAGTGGAACTGACGGGGACAGGGTTTCATTTTGGGGTGATGAAATGTTCTGGAATTAGGTAGTGGTGATCATTGCAGAACATTGTAAATGCATTAAATGCCATTGGAGTTTACATTTTTAAATGGTTAAAAAGGTAAATTTGATGTTAAGTGTAGTAGAAGGAAAGACACTTGTTCTTCAGGGCTTTGGGGAAAGATAGGCTCAGTTGTGCCTATATTCTACCACTTACCAGCTATGTGGCCATGGGCAAGTCACTTAAACTCTCAGCTTCCACTTCCTCCCCTGTAAAATAAGGGTAATTATAGCAGTACCTACCTCATAGGGTTTTAAATCTTAAATGAGTGCAAATATGCAAAGTGGGCCGGGTGCTGTGGCTCACACTTGTAATCCCAGCACTTTCGGAGAACGAGGTGGGTGGATCACTTGAGGGTCAGGAGTTTGAAACTAGCCTGGCCAACATGGTGAAACCCCATCTCTACTAAAAATACAAAAATTAGCGGGACACAGTGGCACATGCCTATAGTCCCAGGTACTTGGGAGTCTGAGGCAGGAAAATCATGTGAACCTGGGAGGCAGAGGTTGCAGTGAGCCGAGATCACGCCATTGCACTCCAGCCTAGATGACAGAGCGAGACTCCGTCTCAAAAAAACAAACAAACAAAAAAAATTTTTTTAAATATATATATATATCTATATATATATGCGCAAAGTGCTGAGTATAACACCTGGCACATAGTAAGCATGACATAAATATTAATATTTGTGTTATTAATTTAGCCCAGTATTCTCAACTAGAGACAGGGTTGCTTCCCAGGGAATATTTGGCCATGTCTGGAGACGTTTTTTATTATCATACTTGGGGGAAGGGGCTCTACTGGCATCTGGTGAATACATGCAAAGAATGCCACTGAACACCCTGCAATGTACAGGACAACCTCCCACAACAACAGATATCTGGCCCAAAAGACCATTCGTTCCAGTGAAAATCCCTGGTTCAAACAGAGCGTGTAGGGAAATGTGCTTCGTCTCATGAATGTATATATTAAAACAGGTCAGGTAGAAATTTTCATTAGAAGAAGACAGTCAGCAAATGTATTAAATGTCCACTGTGTATAGAGAACACTGTATTCGACATTACGGAGCATATAAAACAAGGCAAGGAGCTTCCCTTGAGGAGTTGAGATAAAAAAGAGCTCTGTGCGATGGGGTCATTTCAGAGGGAAGTTTTCACCAAGAGATTACTGTAATCAGTTTTCCCTCAATGAGAGGGTGGTCTGAGGTCACCCACACTGCTCACAGCAATGTTTGCTCAAAGGCTAATACTTCTAGTCCCCTGTAAAGAAGCATCCTCAGGGAATCGTGTGTGGTTCCTTCACTTGTCTGAATGTGTCTTGTGTTTGGGTCAATTCTATTGAATCAATAGCTGAAAAAGAAATCACTGTCACAAATGGAAATAAAAATTACTTGTTATACATACAAGCACAGACATGAAAAAACATTAAATCTCATTGTATTCAACCACCCATAGACCAAAAGGGGGAGATTCTTTTTCCCACTTTCTATGTAAATAGTTATTTTGTAGCAGGACGAGCCGCAGGAGGAGTAGTGGTCTCCTTCGTTAATTTGATCGGATTCTAAAACTGGTATATTCGTGTCATTAGTCCAGTCCACATCACAGAATTTGCCCTTACACAAATGGCTCACCATCAAAAGGTCTCTCTTGCTTTGCTAGCAGTGAAGGTTGGGAAAGGACCCTTTTTGCTTCTCTCCATCTTTTTACCTGTAGACTAAGGATGGGAAGCCCTGCAAAGGTATGCCAAGCCTTCACTTATCCCCTGCCATAGCAGTTGTCCTTCAGAATCAGACAGTGGGAAGAAGGGCCAAGGGGCCTGGTGAAGCTCATTAAGAGGGTAGACCCCTGGAGGGAACCTTGTCTCTGGAAGCCAAGGCAGTGGATGGGTGGTCTCAGGAGGGACTGGAGACCCCACACCATGCAGTCATCTTTGCACACCTTCTTCCACAACCCTGGCTTCCTGTATGTACCTGTGCTTTCTAGCAGCTTACATTTATTCAGTGTCTGCTGTGGCAGGGACTCTTATTAGACATATTTGTGGGGGAAACAAAAGTGAATTAAGCATAGAGCATGTCACAGTGAGTTCTCAGTGTGGCAGGGATAAGAGCTGTTATAATCACTATAATACAGACAGAAAGTGACAAGTGCAATCAGAAAAATGTGGATAAAACACGATGGGATTTCAGAGGACACAGTTGGCCTACAATGGGGAGTTTGGGGAAGTCATTTTGGAAAGGGTAACATTAGAGTTAGAATGTAAATGTTGGTGAAAATGTAGATATGTTGAAAGGATGCTAGAATATTCTAAAGAACAGAGCAAGCTACCAAGGTAAGCAGTTAAGTATGTCACAGAAGAGATGTTGTAGGATTTGTGGAGGGGAGTATAGGGAAATAGGATGAACTGGGTACATTAGGATCAGCTCATGAAAAACCAGCAATGCCAGGACACAGTTGAGCTATGGAGAAGCATGGGTGGATTAGGAAGATTGTTGTAGAGCTATGTGTAAGGTGGACTGGAGAGATAACAAGGGTCTGAGTTACGTGGGGAAAGAAAGGTAGGGAGAGGCCAGACTCAACCAATATCTGAGATATAGCATTTGTCAGGACTGATGGCAGGATGAGGCAGCACATGGGTGTACCGAGGCAGCGGGACACAGTGTTGAAGAGCATGGGCGCTGGACACAGATGCTTTGTGTTCTAGCCCTGGTTCTGCCACTTAAACTAGGCTGCATGTCCTTAGGCAAATTACTTTACCTCTCAGTGCCTCAATCTCTTCATCCAAAAGAATTGGGAATAAAAATCTTGCTCCTCACATCCATATGCTGCAGATTCGATGAGTTAAGTGCCTTTGACGCATTCTAACGTCCTCTGACACAGCGTAAATTATTGTGCTCAATAGCTTAACATAAAAATTGGGTGTTATTATTGAAGGTAACAAGAGGATGAAATGGGAGGATGAATTTTTGAACCGAGTTAAAATCATGGTGATTACCAGGAATAAAGAATTGCACAAGGGAAGGAGTGATCTTCGGTTACTCTTCACAAGGCTGCTTGGAGGGGCTGGAGCATGGAGCCCTTGTTTCAGTAGAGGACAGGACGGCCCATCTACATAAAGGCCCAGTTATCTAGATCTTGTTTTCTACTTCCTAAAGCATTAATTTTACTGTCTGGCATTAGCTGCATTAATCTTCACCAATGAGTCAGGAGTACTCCCAAGACATCAGGATTTCCCTACTTCTTTTCGTGGGGAGACCTAGGACCAAAGAATTAGGGTCATGGGAGACCATCAAATAGATGATGCTTTTAAGAGCAAGGAGGGCATTTTTATAGGCTTGGGCACTAACAGAATGAACATTGAAGATGTTTTATTGAAAAGAAAAGCAACTATGATGTTTTGATTTTAGGTAAGGAATACTGTCTGGTCTGGGTGGGTTTGAGCAGAGTTTTTTCGCGCAGGAAGGATAGGAGAGCCCAGGGAGTGTCCTGGGGCAAGACATCCTGCCTCTTATTCTGCAACTTTGCAGAACTCAGAGCGGAAAAGCTTTGCTCTCCTCTGATACCCCATTTGGTACTCAGACTGTTCCAATTTAATGCATGCATAAGAATACAAATGAAGCTTTCAAGTGCTAAGGCAGATTTTTAATAAAGAGACAGAGGCTTTACCCCTATAAGATTAAACAGTCATCAGGGTTTAAAGGTTTAATCTGTTGGAGTTCAGCCCAGCATGGGGTTCAGAGCCCCAGATGAATTGGATGCAGCCTCACACTTTGAACGTCAGAGCTGGCTGGGGGGTGTGCGCGCTGGTGTGTTTGAGTGTAAAATGTGCTAATAAGTAGGGGAGACCTCTCCTTTGCAATGTGCTGCGGCAGGAGAAAGCAAGCTGCCGGCCTCTGCCTCCCTGAATCCTCAGTGGCTGACTGGATACCGCTTCTGGGGGTTGCTGTGCACATGAATGTTTGCTATTGTTCCAGGCACACGTCGGCCTTAAGAAATAGCACAAAACAGGCCCGTCCTTATTCAGAAGCCGAGCCCCCTCCATCACTCAAACTGGGCCTTTGAGGTCACATGCCGGAGGCTGCTGCAGACAGGACCCAGCTGCCTCAAATCTGCCGCCTAACATTAGCTGCGGTTCGAAAATCCTGACAGCACGGGGCTTCCTGCGCTCTGCAGAGGAAACTAGAAAGATCTGGGATCCAGGCACTATGCTCTCTGAAGAACTGTGGCTGGAAAATGAGAAAAAGTGTGCTGTGGTTCGGAAGTCTAAGCAGGGCAGGAAACGCCAAGAACTGCTGGCCGTAGCCTTGGGGGTGAAGGTGGGTGTCAAAGGTGGCTTTCTTTGGCCCCCTCTCAAACTCTTTGCCTGTTCACAGATCTCCTCCCTGGTTCGAAGGGCAGCCCTCACACACAACGACAACCACTTCAACTATGAGAAGACACACAACTTTAAGGTAAGCAAGCCTCTGCATTCCTTTTTCTGTTACAAAAGGGCAGGTGGAAAGGTACAGTGTATAGTTTCCGTCGGGTTTCTGATTGTAAAGTCAAGAGACGACGAATTCCTTTGCTTCCACATTTAGCTATAAGCTTAACACCTGTGCTTTCTATCAATTCAAACTGGAGACCTCAGAAGGCAGTCTCCTCAGTGCTTATGCCTGGAAACACCTTATCTGGATGTTGACTTAGTTTTGGAGAATTGGGCCCATTGCCACTTCACGTTCCCATGTCCAGTGAAATAAACACAGAGCATGCCCAGTCTCTCTCAGTCAGAGATGTTCTGCTGGGAGCTGAGCAGTACTTTTCCACTCAGTAAAGAATATTGCTGTCCCCGAGCAAGGGAAAACAGTTGCCTGTTTCTCGTTTTGTGTTTTGTCTTTTGTTTTCAGTGATGCTAACTCCTTTCTTTTATGCGTAGACAGCTGTGAAATCAAATAATGACAGGAGATGCCATCCAGAAGCTTTTGTTTGTGCTCCGGGTACGGCTAGCAGGGGGGCACCCTTGGTCACAGCCTTTATCCTGCTCACCAGACCAAACAGAAAGATCTGGAAACCTGGTGGGGGGTTAAGTGGAATTTCCCATGTGAATTTAGAAACTGGAAAGACCGCTATCTTCGTTTCAGACTGGTACTTGTAGAAGGGGCCTGCCATCGGAAAATTATGGCCTGTTTCCTTTGCCCAAGTGTTTTCCAAGAAGGATTGGAAAGGGACGCTGATGCCAAATTGTCTAGCTTGAATTGCAGTTGAGGGGAGGAGAGACAGGTTAGAGTTAGAGGCTTCACCCCAAAAAGTGAGCTGGCAGTTTGAAAGCTGGGGAGAGTGGAGAGGGAGGACCCAGGAATAAAACAATATGCAGGAGAAGCAAAATGTGAATTGCCTTCTTTTAAAAAAATTCTTGTTTCCTTTAGGGTCAGTAACCCAAGTGACTCTTGGAATTAGATAACCCTTTTGTCAGAGGTGACGAGGGAAACTGATTTTATTCTGTTGCTTTCCAATCCTTTCTAAGGACAAATATTCATCTATTAAATGTACATTGGTGTTAGTTTGGTCTGTTTCCCTGCATCTGTTTTTAGAAAGCCAGCAGCTCAGGCATTTGCATGCTATAATTGAACTGAGGAATGGAATTATACAGCCCTACATACTTAGCATTAGGGTGAAGAATTGCATTGCATAGGTCCTCTTCTATGCCAAAGCTTTTCATATTTCTCCCATCACTGAATATTGACAGGTCTAATTTGGAGCATTAAATGCCTCCCTTTTTTTTTTTTTTTCTCTGTTTTCCATTTTTATCCTCATTAAATTTTTTGTCCTTAAGAAAGTGTTTTTCTGATTTTTAGCAGAAATCCTTGATTTTTTTGCATCCTGTGGATACACTACTAGTGATGAGAGGATGGATCTTCATGGACTTGTAAATTCTTTTTCTTCCTCTTGAAAATTCCAATTCATTTGGCTTTAAGAAATTGGAATTATTCTGTACTATAATAATGTTTGCATGGAGTAGCTTGTCCATGTATATTCTGTGTCTGAGCTTGTGTTAAAAACACACAAATATATATAGTTGATATTTTCAAAACTAATTTCAGTCCTTTTAATGTTAGATCCCTGAATGGAAAATTAATCTTAAGACATTTTAAAACAAAAAGATAGTTAAATCTTATTTTTTTAAGTAGTACCGTTGCTAACACAATATATTACTTATCACTGGAAAACAGTTCTTTTAGTATTTGCTTAAAAACTCAATAGCTATTCACTGTTACAGCTCTTGAAAGAAGAAAAGGCACAAAATAGAGAAGTTGTTCAAGAGGAGTACACAAGCCAGACAGGAGCGTTTCTCTTCCGTGTTTTAAATAGATATCTTTGAAACTTAGCAGACCCCAAGTAGCTGTGACAGTTGATTGTGGCATTCAGTGGTACTGTTGGTGCCACTGTCCTTAAGAATGAGTGGCAGGGGAGGATGAGGCATCCTCTTTGTCCTTCCTTGCCCTTTCCACCCTCAATCTCCCCACTCCTCACCCCCAACTAACTCTAGGTGGAAACTTTACATAGTTTTTGGAAGAACATTCAAAAAGCAGGCTCAGGCTATAAATACAGTGGCAGGTTTTTAGGGACAAGCCACTGAACTGAACTAAAGGAAGAAATTTCTTATCCTATGTCCCTGCCATCTGTTTGGAATTTGTGTTTCAGACCTTAATTTTACATTGGCTTTTTATTTACATTAACTTCTAATGGGCTTTATTCTGAAGCCTTCTTGATTTGTAATTCAGATTAATATTTAAGGCTATTATGTGCATAGCATATAGTCAGCAATCAATAAAAAGACAAATAATCACATTTTCATGCTCATCAGCCAATAGGCTTTATTAGGTGCTGCCTGCACTTTCATCTAGAGGCCTCCTGTCTGCCATTCGAATCTGCCAGTAGAGTTTGTCTTCTCACCCCATAACAAGATTGTTTGCCCCAGTCAGGACTATTACCCCAGGTAAAAAGTCCTTTCCTTTGCTCTGCCCAGGAGCTTTGTCAAGAGGAATGAATAGAAACCCCCAACATTCCCTAAGTTGGGACCTTGTGCTCCATTCTCTGAGAAAGCTCACAGTCACTGCCTTTGCTTCTCAAAGTTTGTCTAAGCAAAGCAAAATTCAGCTCTGAGAACAAAAGCTTTGGGAACCAAAGGACAGTTGCGCCTCATCGCGTGCAATAATTGTATACTTTTCAACACTGTGTGCTGATGCAATTTTTGCTCATTTAAAGCCCGGATTTCCTAGGGTTACTTGTACCTACTAGGCACTGAGAGGTATGTGCTGGAGGAATGGTGAAATGAACACACTCCTCTCTAAAATGAAAACTGTTTGTCAAGAGAAAAACCACTCGGTGATTTAGCTCATTTTATAACTGCATCTCTGTTTATCTAGTTGATTTAAAGAGGCACTCTGCTGTAACTGGAATAGCTCTCTTTTGAATGGTCCACTTAATAATACCTTATGGCTGAGCTCTGAAAATCTTCAGGCCAGCCAACCCCAGAGGCCCAGGAGTCGGCTTGCTCGGCTTCCTCCCCACACTTAGCACAGTGCTGAGGTACCTTTAGCCCGCGTAGTACTCCTGGCCACACCATGTTCTTCCAAAGAGCTCAGCTGTCTCTGCCCAGTTCCCTCATCTGAAAATGGGAGTGTTGTGAGGTATAAAGAATATATGCGAGTCACTTACCATGGTCTCTGGCACCTAGTAAGTATCCATTTGATGTTAGCATCTATTATTATCTTTTCGTGCCTCTCACTTGTATTTTTGTGTCTAGCTTTTTCTATTTTTTATTTTCTACCCTCTCTTCTTCATGCCCTTCTTTCTTTTGTCTCTTTTCTACCATCTCTTTCTTCTTCTCTCATTAATTATATGTAAGAGAAAATGAAATAAAGCCTGATAGTGGTTATTTCTTTGAATGTATTCCATCCTGTAGCCACTACTGGTTTATATCCCTCGTTTCTTTAAAAAGTAAATGGATGACTTAGATGATTTAGATTAGATTTCACACATTTTTCTCCCAGCTTTTAAAAAGTACTTTATACTAAAGCTGTCATAACAAATGACCACAAACTTGGTGGCTTAAAACAACACAAATTTATTTGCTCATGGTTTTGAAGGCTGGGAAGTCTGAAATCAAGGTATGGGCAGGGTTGGGTCCTTCTGGAGGCTCTGAAAGAGAAACTGCCCTGCAGCTCTCTCCTAGCTTCTGGTGGTTGCTGGCAGTCCTTGGCATTCTTCGTCTTGTAGACACACCACTCCAATCTCTGCCTCCATCTTCATATAGCCTTCTCTGTGTGTCTCTGTATATCTGTCATCTTCTTATAAGGTTGCCAGCCATGGGATTTAGGGCCCATACTCATCCAGTATGATGTCATCTTAATTATATCTTCAAAGATCCTATTTCCAAATAAGGTCATATGCACAGTGACCCAGGGTTAGGAGTGAAACACACCTTTCGGGGGATATACAATGCAACCCGTTACAGGAAGTGTAATTGACATTTTCAGAAACCTTCAATAGGAAGGATCTCCAGCATCACCCTAAAGGATGCATTGTCAGTAATGTTAACATTTACAGTTTCATTAAAGATTTTTATGTCCATGAAAAAAGGTCTTTAGATGTAATCTAATTGCTCCTAAGTGTCAACCCCTTGGTCCAGGCACAACTGCTAATTTCCATGGCTATTGATTTTTAACATCTTTAAAGAAAAGTTTTTGTGGATTTTCTTAATGCTTCATTGCTCTGATAGAAAGTGGTGAAATTTAGTTATTCTTTGTCTCTTATCTTTACCAAGCATTTCTTCATTAAAAGAGGCACTAAAAAACTTCAAAATAGCTGGTAAGCTTCCATTTTTAATAGTAAGTTAGAAGTGTCTATTTGCTGTGGCTGGTTCCTATTCAGAGTATATGTTATACTTTATAATCAAATTTATGATGTAGCTATAAGTTCACACTAATATGTGTGATTGATTATGCAGGACTGGGCAGGTAATGTGTGAGACCCAGTATACAATGAAAATGTGAGGTTCTTGTTAAAAAAAAATTATGGAGATTTTCAGAACTGTGACAGCAGCGCATTAAACCACGCTAAGGACAGGGCTCTGTGCCACCGCACAGGTCACATGTGCCCTGAAGCTGACCCTGTGGTGATGTATAAAAAAACAGGAGTAAAAGACAAGCTTCTGTGAGCATTGAAAGAGGAGGGGGCTCCCTGGTGCTGGGGATCCTGTGTAAGAGGCAGTGTGGTTGTTCTCTCAGCCTTAACCAAGAATCCTCGTGGGGAGGTGGAAAGTTGGCTGAAGCCCAAGTAAATAAGTAGATCAGGGATGGTTATACAGGGGAAAGAAAGAGCACCTGGGCTATGCAAACAACAGGAGTGAACACTTGGAGTCAGAAATGTGCCAGGAGCGAATAGGGTGCAGGGGAGAGACCTGGGGGACAGA